CATCATGTGACCTGTTCACAGTACGCACCCAGATTATGATGGCAGTTATTTAAATGTGTGTTTATTTTCGGCCTGTGTGTTAGAATTCACCAACCCACAGCTGCTGCATGATTGGATACGACTTCCAAAAGGTCATGTGATAGACCAGACTTTGGATGCTAATTGGGGAGGGGGTTTATTGTCTCAAAGTACAGAGACTCTGTAAGGAGATGTTCCTCTTTCTATAAAGGTTTCATTTGTATCCTCAGTAACTTGCTTCGGAAAATGATCATCACTGTATAAACTATAGGGATTTGTAATAACTTGGTTTATGCACAAACACAGTAACTGTCCTTTAACATATCCAATATCAGATGTCAGATCAGTGAGTAAAGCATAGTGAGGAGAGCGCAGTAAATTGCCCGAGTGCTGTTTATCCTGGCTTTAGTCCTTTTTCAGCTCCTAGACATAAGCCATGAATCCTCAAAGCAACACATGCTGCTGTGTTTTTACACCGTTCTATCCTTTTTCTCCCCGGCGCTCCCCTAGACGAAGGAGAATGAGCCTCTAATCTTCATGATTCACACTATGATCGAGAACTCGGCACCGAGGCCGCAACTCTATCAGCAAGTAAGGTCCTGGGCAGGGTCTGGCTTGAGTCAAGACAACCCATTTTCCCTTTCACTGTGTATCTGTGTTGTTATGTCAAAACGTCATGGCAATCATGATACTTGACTTTAAGGTTAGTTAGGTATCATCTTTTCGTGTTATGTTAAACCTGAATGCAACAACATTGAAGTTTTGAGGTTTTGCTCAACTTAACTTCACTGGATGAAGACATTAACTCAAGAAGCTTGCAGTTTGTTTTCCCTAAAGGGACGACCCTGTTGTTCAAAAAGGACATTTTGGATTTGACCTGAAATGGAGTGGACTCAAGCCAGACCTTTGCTCTGGTAGCCCAGTGTACCCATGTGTTCCCTTCATCTTCACCTTCTGTTTGACCACTTTGGATGTAGACAGTGTGTTCATAAACCCGTCAGACATCAGCAAACCTTCACATACATTCTCTCAGCATTATTCAAAGTGTATATAAAGGTGTTTTTGGTTTCAGTAGATCTCATTTCATTGCTTTTTATTTGAAGCTGTTGGAGTGCCTTAAAGCGTGCATGTTTTATAGTGTAATGCTGCACAGTCATGGATTTCTCCCCTCACTGTCTCTCATACAGCGCTGTGTTGTTGTCATCACTATGGAGACGCTTATATTGTTTAAATGTTTATGTCTTAAAGATTCACTTCTCAAGATTTCCTGTGAGGAATAATAACCCTCATGTTCCTGCACATATTTAGCTTATTTTAGCATGAAAAACTAAAAGCTAAAGCAAACAGCAAGACATTAAATATATATTTTACATATATATATATATATAAATTGACAAAGAATAAGATATCATAATATGGTTGTCCACAAAATGGAAATATAACAAATGACATTGATTGTGAGGTATGTGCTAGGACAACTTCCTGACCAACGATTGTACTGACTCTTACGCAGCGTCCACACGGCGGGGTGCGTTGAAGCTTCAACGCTTCTCTTGCTCAATTTAAAAGTTGAGCAATGTTCTACTTTTGAAGCTTCGACGGAAGCGTCAGCCAATCAAATCATATGCCAGTACAAGCTCTAGCCAATCAAACTGCGTGCTTGTGTGTCCGGGGCGGGAGACTCATGTGATTGGTTGTTGGTCGAGTTTCAGACAAGCTCACCGGCAAGCTTCAACGCACGCCGCCGTGTGGACACTGCGTTAGGGACACTATTAAAGTTAAAAGACAACAAAGATTGTATAGAGCTCCAAACAGATTGTCAGCTCTACTCAGTCTACAAATCAACCTTTGAAAGAGCACGATGATAGATCTGCAGAATCTGCTGTGAGCGTGTCATCACCATCATGCTTTCCTCTCTGAGCGCTGAGCAGGATCTTTCTAGCCAATCATTTATGCCTCTCAAGCTATAACTGCACTATACCCCCTTTGGCCCAAAGTTAAGGTCCACCCAAAAAAAAGGACAACCTTGGATTCACTTATTGTATGCCTTACGAGTTCAGTAGAATTCAGACATTCCAATTGATCAACTTATCACTGCCTATATCAATAATGCATCTACTGTGAAAATGCTGATATTCTGAATGTGGACACGGCACTCTTTACTTTCGAAATTCCACACGACAGTAAACCCAACCAATCAGTTAATTTGATTTCAAAGATCAGAGACAAATGTAAATGATATATTTGTTCTTTTAAAATTATTGATAACAATTTTAAACTGGAAATAATAAAAACCTATTTCATACTACAAATAGAAGGTAGCTAACACAGCCTCTTTGATAATCTATCCAGCAGCCATTTTGCATCAATGTGTACAAACTAGTGCTGTCAAAATTATCGCGTTAACGGCGGTAATTAATTTTTTGAATTAATTGCGTTAAAATATTTAACGCATTTAACGCATGTGCAGAATGGCCCGCCCCATACGTGCCACCAGTGGCAGCGCCAGGGTATGGCTGGGGTAGGCTACAACCATACCAAGAAATGGCTTAGCCCCACCTTGAAAAAGTAAACAAAATAAAGTCTGCCAACTCGCGCGGAGTAAATTGCACAGACTGATTGATTTCAGTAGCCACGGTTTTGAAAACTTTTGTCACGTAGTGATCGTCTTCTCAATAGAACATCTTTGATAACGGCGTGGTGTTGTTGCAGAAAGTCCCGACGGAGAATACTTTTGCTGTAGTGCAGGGGTGCACATAACTGGTACGCAGGTTATGTGTGTAATCTGAAATGCGTACCGTCACTTGTGTCACAAAGCGCATTTGCGTACCGACGTACTTGTGAAGCTTTTCCAGAAGGCGGTTAGATCACCGGACGAGAGAGTCGGTCTCCGTGTGCACAGACAGGGCTGCTGTTAACGTCGGTCTGTACAACGGAATTGTGCCAAAACTACGCCAACCGGCTGCGGAGGGAGACTCCCCCCCCCCCTTCACTGGAGAACTGCGCTACAACAGCTGATCACAACGTTCCCACTCTGTGGTCACGAAGTACTCCACTAGCCGCCGCCCCCCCCCCTCTGTCGACTTTCCTGAAGTACTCCCCCGTTGGTAGAAATCAACACGTAATGAATTAAGACCCCACGGTTTGATGATTGATAGGTGTGTGGGTTGTCTTTCATTTTGACACGCAGAAAATGTTATAATAAACATAGATACTGCATGTTAAATGGATATATCCGCCTTCTTTCATTTATCTTTCCATTCCCACAACAATATACATAAATAAATGGCATATTTTGGAAAATAGTTCGAATGGTGATTAATCATGATTAATTAATTTTTAAACTGTGATTAATCTGATTACAATTTGTAATCGTTTGACAGCCCTAGTACAAACAAATCATCATTTGCCAATCATTACAATGTGAGATGTGAGTAGTTATCTAGTGTCAATTATTTTAGATTTTTAAGATGAAAATGGCTTCATCACAGCTGAGTCTCTCCATCTGGTGACTGACACCCAGGCGTCCCATAATGCCCTGCTGCCTGCCTGCCTGCTCTCAGGAGCCATAAGATAGGGAGAATCCAAAGGAATTCCTCCAGTCAGTCACACACCTCACTCTCTCTCTCTGGAGCCTGTGGGCCCTCAGAGATGGACTGCAGGCTGAAGCCCTCAGAATGTGCTCTCTCTGTGATCACCAGTAGTCTCAGCTTAATACTGAACACACAACCTTCCCACCTCATGGAAATAAATGAAATGAGTGTATTTCCAGAAATCTATTAGTAAACCTTTCAAAGGTTATTCAGTGTTTGTTAGTTGGTTGTTAGTCAGCGCTTTACGCCAGATTGCTCCAGTTTCACTCTTTGTCAGGGTGAAACTCCCACTGTGAGTGAACCAGGGTCATCTAGTCCAAACTAATCTACAATCAGTTTGCAACTCTTGATTACAATAAACAATAGTTTAAAATGTACCCAGTGAAGTGAAACACACATTGTTTGAACTCCTGTTATAGTAAGGCATTTATTATGACGTCCAGTGTGTACACCACTCCTCAGACGATGCTTTCTGGAGGTCCCATCTTCAAACAGCCTCCAGACTCTCTATGTGGGGGTGCACCAGGGTCTCTCAGCTGTATTTCCTGGAACAGAACAGAATAATTTGCTCTGTAAAATGTACTGGAGGATTTGTCAGGAAATGTTATCACTTTGCTCCAGACCGGTAACACTCTGACCCTGCCTGCCCTCATCCATCTCCCTGTGTCCTCATCCATCTCCCTGTGTCCTCATCCATCTCCCTGTGTCCTTACTGGAGGAGGACATGGCAGAATTACTGCATTGCCCCGGTGTGGATCACATGGAAAGATGCTCTTCTGCTACATGACACTGTTACTCTAAAAACACACATTTTAAGAAGCAGTGCATTGAAATTACAGACTGTTGATCAGTAGCTCCTTTCTTAATGTCCGTGTCCGAGAACCTGCTCTGGAAGCTTAATGTTCTTGGCAATTTATATCATTATACTGTTTACAGAAAACATTTATAAAATGAGACTGAAACGACCAAAGCAGAGACAGAACTGTGATTTGGCACACAGTGGAGAATTAAATAACACATATATATAATAATTTTGGGCTTATTTGTATGGTTATTAGGGTGCATCTGTCCTCCCTTTCCTTTTCTCCACATTATTATATTCAGCCACATTATCCCTGGTAACACCTGGGTAAACAGCTTCAAGCTAAATGAAACAGGATTAGTAGGTATGCATTAAGCACTCATCCCTTCATCCCCTGCAGCTGGAATGAACAGCAGAGGCATATGAATGATTTATCTCTAAAAGAAGCAGCATTTGCATCCTCTGTGCATTAGGAATAATTAGGATAAGAAATGATGTTTGAAGTAGCACTTTATAAAGACATGTTGGAGGCTGCAGTGATCTGATGCCCCCTGCTGTCAGTATCTGATGGAGGCTCCGTGTTTCAGGTCAGTCCAGACGACCATAAAGAAGGCTCCTTCATCCAGCGCACAGAGGAGCCTGACATAGACGTAAGACAAGCCCATTCTTCAGTGATACAGGTGATGTGTTTTGAACAAGGTTGAGCATGTGTGTGTATTTGTGTGTCAGACCAAGCTGAGCAGACTGTGTGAGCAGGACAAGGCTGTGAGGCTGCAGGAGGATAAGCTGCAGCAGCTGCACAGAGAGAAGGTACAGCTCTCCCTCTGTCCACTCCTTTTTCTGATGTTGTGTAGGTCTGCATGTGCAGTAAGTATTTGTGTGTGTATGTGTGTATGTGTACAGCACACTCTTGAGACGGCCCTGCTGTCTGCCAGTCAGGAGTTGAGTGAACATAGCGGAAACAACGGCGCCGCACAGAGCCTGCTGCAGCAGAGAGACACGCTGCAGAGCGGCCTGCTGAGCACCTGCAGAGAGCTGAGCAGAGTGACCACGGTGAGATACACACCAGACACACACACATCGGACACACACACAGTCCTGTGTTTCCCAAATGTGGGGCCCAAACTTTTTCCCCCAATTGTGGGGTCCACCCTTTCTAACTACACTACACCTCTGTAAAAAAAATCAGGCAAGTTAAAAAAAAGAAAATTTGAATCACAAAAATCACTTCAAATAAACATAATTCAAAACTTTTGTCTTCATGCTAGTTTTTTACTCACTCAGTGGGGCCCAGTTTCTAGCATTCAATACTTACGAGGTTCAATGCATACACACACACACACACACACACACACACACACACACGTTTCTATTTTGTATATCTTAGCTGGGATCACAGTAACTATCTGGAGACAGTATTGAGTTGAAGGGACTTTTTAAATAAATTGCAGGACAGCATCAGGAAAATGTAGATTTTACTTGGATATTTTCTACACCAACAAATTCACATTGCTGGTAAGATTAGTCATTACTTAGGTGATTAGCCTCCTCTTAACATGGAAGATAAATAGACAGTACAAAGGCAGTAACATTGATCAACACCAGCTCAAATCAATAAACCCCTTTTCGTTCAACATTGTTCTTTCTTAGTGGCAACCATTAGTAGTTCTTGAGACAAAATATTGCTTACTCTCTACAACATTTTTTTAATTCAATAAACATTTATTTGTATATTATTTGGGTGTTTTACTGCATGATGTCTTGAGAAACTCCCTCTTGAGCTTCTCAACAGGGCATTTCAGCTGTTCTTTTCCTGCAGCATAAATAATTGTCTTGGTGCATACATGAGGATATGGTTAACGTTCTTCAGCCAAGCTAAGACGTCTGTTTGAGCGGCCACTTTAGTATGATGATTAATTCGTTTTATTTTGGGATTTTAAACATGCATGACCAGCATCACTTCTAGCACTATGGCTGCTATAGTAGTACCATAGTGCAGACAAATGGTTGCTTACTAACCCTTTAACCTGAGATAATGTTTTTACAACAAATCCTCCTCAAGCCCCCAGGAAGTGCGCTGGACTCTGAGGAAAATATTCGTTGTGTCCAAACGACGGTACTACAATTTCCGTATCAGTCTGTGACGTCACCCGGCCCAGAAATACTTTTTCCCATTGACTAACATGGGGAAAGAGACGTCTCTAAATCAGCGGATTTTTTTTTTTTAAACTACCCAGTATTAACAATGTTATAGCCCTTATTCGAATCATTAGGTCCTTAAAGTTGTAAAATGCACTAAAAGCCGAATCCAGATTTATTGTCTCTCTCAATTCATTCTAGTGAGCCGAGATCGGGGGCGGGGCTTAAGGGGCAACTCAACTGCGCATGCTCTATGAGCGCACATACGGGTACTTCTGCTCCGACAGCCAGGCATGACGGGTAATCTGTGAAGTTTGGCTCTCGAAAATCTCAGGCCATTTTGTCCTCATGCGCCAATGAGCAGCTCTCATACGAAAGAACGAGACCCCACCTCCGACGCTGTATCCAGTTCTTATTATACATCCATGATCCTCCTGCCCTACACTCATATACTCCACATAGTAAACAAAACATTACAAAACGATATATATAGGTATATATATAACACACACACACATTTCTTTTTGACAAAGATAATACAATTAAGAGCTCAAAAGAAACAGAAATGAGCCTATGAATATTCCCGCATAGAGTTTAGTGTTCAAATAGTTTAATACAGGGGGTAGGCCAGCCTACAAGTATCTCAAATTGTGAGATACTTGAGTATCTCACAATTTGTGTCAACTTCTCTGACTCTATACGTCCGTCTGATCTTTGTTCTTGATCTACATTTGAATGTGAAACATTTTCACTCAGCCAACACATTAAACTAGAGCAGATATAACTTAAAGCACTGGAAACCTTAACTCCCCTCCCCCTTCACAGGGATGCGCCGAACGTGAGCCGAATACAATTTTCCAAAGTGATTACAAACCACGCCGTATTTAACAATGAATAGCACCAAGAAATCTACAGAAAATGTTATGCAAAATTAAGTTTCATTTTTTAGGTGAGACAAATTCTTTCATTCACACGAGCTGCCGAACATAAAACCTCTCCTAAAGTGAGAGGCTCATCGACCAATAATGAACGTACTGTCTTCACAGACGGTGAAACGAGCCACAGGAATATTGCCATTTCTCCCGTTGTTAACTCCCTGAATCCTGATGCTGTCGAACTACTTGTATGCTAAAACACCATGGGTTTAAGATTGATGCGGCCAAAGACTCATGTGGCCGCATCAATGTGTACGCATCAGTGACGCAGCATCATCTTTAGCAAAAACCCAGCATCTGATTGGACGAACGCTAGCAACACAGCATTTGGCTAATGCAGCCATCTTGTAAAGTACGTGTTTCTGCTTAATGCCAAACAGATTATTAAACTTTAAATGTTAAGTTCACTCTTGATAGGTAAATGGTGTTCTTTTACTTCACTATATTTATTTTGTACCTTTAGTTACTTTGCAAATTTGGATGAATGATGTGAAATATAATCAAGTGTTAAATCAGACTGTAGTTCCACCTGGAGTAAATTCACAAGCTACCCTGCAGTATACAAAGTCATTCAAACTAGCTGCACCTTTAGGACCAGGTAGAGGGATGATATCTCTTCGCTGGCCTGGGAGCACCTTGGGATCCCCCAGTCAGAGCTGGTTGATGTCGCCAGGGAAAGGAACGTTTGGGGCTCCCTGCTGGAACTGCTACCTCCGCGACCTGACCACGGATAAGCGGGAGAAGATGGATGGATGGATTATTGATATTAAAAAAGTGATTTGTTTTCCATGTGATTTTCTTATCAGAAAGTGTAGTTATTTATTTGAAAGCTCCAAATCCTAATTTTTCCCTCAATGGCCTTTGTGCCCTGGCATGTGTCCTTTGTGCCCTAAAAAAATGTGTGACACCAAAGGCCAAATGGCCTTGCCCCTAAAATGATGAAATTCCAAGCCTGATACACACACACACAGACACACCGGACACACATACACACACACACCAGACCCACACACTCTCTCACTCTCACACACACACACAAACACACAGTCCACTGACCCCTCTCCTGGCTGCTGTCCTGTTCAGGAGTTGGAGCGTTCCTGGGGGGAGTACGACAGGTTGGGGGCCGACGTCACTCTGGCTAAGTCCACCCTGCTGGAGCAGCTGGAGGCCCTGGGCAGCCCACAGGTAGCACAGACACACATCCACACACTTCACACTCCTTCTGAGGTGATCAAGCTTGTAACGGCATATGTGTGGGTTCTCAGACAGAGCCCCCGAGCCAGAGACACATCCAGATCCAGAAGGAGCTGTGGAGGATACAGGACGTGATGGAGGCTCTGGCCAAAAACAAACCCCAGCGGAGCACAGACAACAGTGAGGCTTCACATTCGTTTCCCATTTATCTCATGTGATTAACATTATGAGAACTAACTCCTTCTCAGGTGTCTTTTATTCTGGAAAAGTCCCATTCCTTCTCTCTCCTTGTTTCCATATTCAGCAGGTGTGCCTGCTTCCAGACCGCTCTCCAGTCTCCAGAAGAACGAGGTACAGCAGTCCACACCACACACACTAACAGCCACACCACACACACTAACACACACCCACTGACAGCCACACCACACACAGTCCCATCTGGATCCCAACAGCTTCACATGTGTTTGGGAAGCTGTCATCCACATGTTTCTGTGATTCTCCAAATAACCAAAATGTGTATTTTGATGTGTTTTTAAGCCAGTTAATAATATGACTTTATTGTCATTGCACAGTACATGTACACTGTGTTTGGATTCATTTCCTTCTTACCAGGCAGCCACTGGTTTCCTTCTGATTCAGTCCGTTACGTAAATCACTTCCTGCTTGCTGTAGATAATGTCACATACCTCATTCACACCAACGGTGTTTCAGGGCCGGTTCGGAGCTGGAGCTTGAAAAGCACCGGGTTTTCCTGTTCACACCGCAGTGGAGCAGCCTCTTAGCTCCGGAATCCGGTTCGTTTCAACCACCAAAAAATGGTCCGGCTAGAGCAAAAGCTCCGCATACGTCACGCTTACGTCGAGGCGGGGGCAGAGACAGATCAACTCCTGAACAACAACAAAAAGCCCGCGTTTTATCCAGTTTGTACACAACGATGGAGAAACTTAACAAGCAGCAGTGGTCCACTGAAGAGACCAGCTACCTGCTGGGAATCTGGTCTTCTGAAGAGGTACAGAGGAAGCCTATAGGCCCTGGCTGCGGAACGCGGAATGGGGCGGGGTCGGATGTGGGCAGGGCTGGACGTCCGATGGGCGGGGTGTATGGATATCCTAATGACACAAACAGCATCATCTGCTGGACAACTACAATAAGTACAAATACAAATCTGCACTCGACTAAATATAATTTAAAAACTAAATATAAAAACTTCATACTAATTAAATGCATGAATGTATTTAAATATTTGGTATAAAAAGTCATATTTTCTATATTAGTGTATTTAAGTATATTATTTAATATTTGTTTTTAATTGATTATTAATTTAGTTAGTTCTGTGCATACTCATATCTAGTCCATATATTTCAAATGATACATTGCACTGCATTTCATAGAATGATAGAAAAAGCATTTATTATTTACAACATTTATCATATAACAGAACAATCATTAAGATAACAGAACCGAAAAAGCAAATACAGTAAATATAAAAACCAAACCAAGTATACAAAAAAAAAATCTATACAACAGTGAAAGGCTTTGCTGATGCAAACATTCAACCGCGCTCTTCAAAACAGGCATGAACCTTAAGGTTTTCTTTGTCAATGCACTGCTCAAAAACATTAAATAGTCCGACTCAAATTTGAACCTGAACATAAATGGGTCCATCCTGTCTTCCCAGCTGTCTTCGTCCCGCAGGTTGCTGGCTTCACCAAGGTTATGGAGAGCTGCTTCTCTGTCCAGTGGGGCCATGGAAAGAATTTGTGGCAGGATGACTTTATCTCCCATATTCTTTGCAGAGCACCACTGAGATGCCGCCATAGCACTACTTATAAAGGGGTGCTTCTCCTACAGCAGTGGTTCTCAAACTTTTTCTGTCATTCCCCACTTTGAACAGGTGGGCCTTTTCAAGCCCCACCTGTTCCTCTTAAGCTTAATTTTTCAAGCTTAAAATTGTCAAATGTATCGTTCTATAACAGGGGTCTCCAACCTTTTTTAGGATGAGAGCTACTTTCAAAAACTAAAACTAAAAAAATAGCTACTTTTACTCCTCTTTTTTGTTTTTTTGCAGTGTATATATTTAGCACATTTTAACATTATTATATGCTACCTTTAACCTTTGTGTGCTGTTTGGGTCTGTGGGGCCCGTTTGCAGTGTTTACTAAAAGAACATGTATGCAATTTAATTATTTTAACCTGCTTTATTTGGTGGTGGACGTCACAACTGTAAAGATTGATAAATTCATCAGATGAGCCATACCATGAGCACAAACACCCCACAGTTGTTGGAGGCCCGTTGTCTTGGTATGCCCTATTTCATGAAGAAGGTGAGATTATATACACATATACACACACACACACAGTGTAGGAATCCAGGAATCAAACTCAATTAGTGTGCATCATAATTACTAACTTCCTCCAAGTTTACAGTAAAACAAACTGGTGGTGTGATCAATGGCCATTTACAATTATTAATACTCTTACTATTATTAGTAATCAGAGAAAGCTCAGAGAAAGGAGTATGAATGTAAGGTTTCCCCACTGACTCAGAGAGGAGGAAAGAATGTCTGGCTCAAGTCAGCAGGAGCAATTTAACTATCACAAAAGACAACAACAGCAACAACATATGTGAGGTAATCATATTTTTCACAAAACGAAGACCACACCATTGGGAAGCTTAACGTCTGTTTAATCAAAATAAGGAACAGGGAGAGGCTTGCAAAGCTCTGGGAGTTGAGACTCAGGCTCAGGGTGAGGGTCTCATTGCAGGTCTTCAGGCTCCATTGAATCCCCCTGGGGTTCTTGTGCTGAAAGAGGGAGACAGGAGAAAGGGTTAGATACATCTAGCAACCTAGAGGATGGGAAATTGCTGACCTATTTGAAACTTACCTTGTGTATTCACTCACTTAAGTCCCTCTCCCTTTGCCATCAATCCAACATCAGCTGAGCTGCAACATAATACAGACAGGTAATAATCAACAGAATCACAAAGACATAATATGACTGCTAAAAACACTCACCCATAAATTATGTTTTTGTTTACTGTTTGGAAGTCTCAAATATCCACTCTAAATCCATATCAATAGCGATGTATCACAAAAATAGCTCTCTTCCTTATTATTGTGTAACGTTAACTATATTATACTAGCTTGAACTCCAAAATGGATATCCTCATTTCACCACCTCCACCCACTACAATCACACGCCCCAATGTTATATTACTAATATGTAATTCCCTCCACCCCGGATAAAAGCACGTTAAGAAGCCCCTTTTCTCTAATTCCACAACGTTGGAGGAAATAACATGAGGAGAACGGATTAATAGGCTGTTCGTGGTTAACGTGTGTTGCTAACTTTATCCGGCATCCTAGCCTAATCTGTTATCTGTAAACGTTAAATATACTGATTGAAGGGATAATCCACTAACATCCTTTAATACACGTGTAGTTAATTTGATTCAGATGTTCTGATAATATCCGCAATATAAATCTTTAAACGTCTTCTTACCTTTAAAAGTCCATCACGAACGGTCTATTATGCTACAACTCTACTGTGCTGCTAGCCGCAGATCCTCTCAATAGTTTCCCGGAAATTATCTGCAAGCTAACTTCCGGGGAACTATTGAGAGGCTCCACGATCCGCCATTGCTGTAAAAAACTGGTCCATTGGAGTGAACGGAGATGTCGTAACTCTTCTCTGGGCGGGGTCGGACATCCAACCCCGCCTTTTATCCGACCCCGCCCCATTCCGCGTTCCGCAGCGAGGACCTTCACAATCGGCCATTGTTGTTGTTGTTGTCGGTCGGTGTCAGCTGTGAGGGGTTTCCGCACGGTTTGGCTTTATGAAGCAGGCACGCAAACGGTTACGTCATGACGCAAACGATGACGCAATGACGCAGCACCAGTCGGACTCTGGGCGGTGTGAAAAGAGCCGGAGCTAAACCGAAGAACCGGTTCTGAACCTGAAAAGCTCTAGCACGGAGCTTGAACCGGAGTTGCGTTGGTGTGAATGAGGTATCAGTGACCTTTTCTTCAAATGATACCACAGTTAGTTGGTAATGCAACACATTTCTCCAACACTCTTTAGACTTCAGAGTTTCTTGTTTGACAGAAAAAAATGTTATGAGATTGTTTTACACTGTTCTGTGCTGAAGTCTGAAGGTGTGTTCAGGCCGAAAACAGAGATAAGTCTTGCGTTAGTTTGACTGCTCTCTGACTAATCTGTTGTTAGGGTTTGATGTAGGCAGACATTACAGACACAGAGAATGATCCCAACTCCACAGCGCTTTAGCATCCTTCAGCTGTGTGTTTGGGTCCCTGTGTGTCTGGGTCCCTGTGTGTCTGGGTCCCTGTGTTTGGGTCCCTGTGTGTCTGGGTCCCTGTGTGTCTGGGTCCCTGTGTGTCTGGGTCCCTGTGTGTCTGGGTCCCTGTGTTTGGGTCCCTGTGTGTTTGGGTCCTGTGTTTGGGTCCCTGTGTGTCTGGGTCCCTGTGTCTGGGTCCCTGTGTGTCTGGGTCCCTGTGTGTCTGGGTCCCTGTGTCTGGGTCCCTGTGTGTCTGGGTCCCTGTGTGTTTGGGTCCCTGTGTTTGGGTCCCTGTGTTTGGGTCCCTGTGTCTGGGTCCCTGTGTGTCTGGGTCCCTGTGTTTGGGTCCCTGTGTGTGTGGGGTCCCTGTGTTTGGGTCACTGTGTGTCTGGGTCCCTGTGTGTCTGTGTCCCTGTGTGTTTTGGTCGCTGTGTGTCTGGGTCCCTGTATGTCTGGGTCCTTGTGTGTCTGGGTCCCTGTGTGTTTGGGTCCCTGTGTGTCTGGGTCCCTGTGTGTTTGGGTCCCTGTGTGTTTGGGTCCCTGTGTGTCTGGGTCCCTGTGTGTCTAGGTCTCTGTGTTTGGGTCCCTGTGTGTCTGGGTCTCTGTGTTTGGGTCCCTGTATGTCTGGGTCCCTGTGTGTCTGGGTCCCTGTGTGTTTGGGTCCCTGTGTGTCTGGGTCCCTGTATTTCTGGGTCCCTGTGTGTTTGGGTCCCTGTGTGTTTGGGTCCCTGTGTTTGGGTCCCTGTGTGTCTGGGTCCCTGTGTGTTTGGATCCCTGTGTGTTTGGGTCCCTGTGTGTCTGGGTCCCTGTGTGTCTGGGTCTCTGTGTTTGGGTCCCTGTGTGTCTGGGTCCCTGTGTTTGGGTCCCTGTGTGTCTGGGACCCTGTGTTTGGGCCCCTGTGTGTGCAGTGGTATGGTTCTGTGCTCAGTGAGCGGCTGTGTGTCTGCAGGCAGATACGCTGCTGCCATTCAGTCCTCTCAAAGAGGCGGACAGCGTGCCCCCCCGCCCACCCCTGCCCCAGTACTACGACTCAGCAGAGCGCCCCCCCAACATGCCCCCCTACCACTCACACCCAGGCGGTCGCCTGCAACCCCAAACGCACCGCCCCGAGGACCGCAAGGCTGGCTCCAGGAACGGAGTACACAGCGTAAGAACCGCTGAAATACTTCATGCCCCCCCCCTGTGTGCCCCCACCGTCCACAGACTGTGTCGACCATCATCAGCACGCAGCTTTCTGTAGGCTCACTACATTTTCACCAAGCGCCATTTTGGATACATGTCACTCATTTCCTCGTTTTTACCCAGCAGTCCATGCTCCATCCAGTCATCCCCCCCTTCACTATCATATTCAGACCCCCGACCTGGGTTACCCCCCCCTGCTGTCTTCATAGGTTTGCAAAAGGTCTGTGTGTATGTTGATGTGTGTCACCTGTTTCCACATGGTGTTTAATCTGACCTTGAACACTCTCCCTCACAGCAAAATCCAGACTACCGGCTGTATAAAAGCGAGCCTGAACTCACCACGGTGAAGGAGGAGTTGGATGAGGCCAACGGGGAGGACAAGGACAAGGCAGAGAGCTCGGACACAGCTTCCAAAGGTACTGAAGCTTACGCATACATGTCTATATTTATTGGATTGTCTTCATATTATACTGGTTGGAGACTGTGGTAAAACATTTGATCTATGCTTCTGTACTTTCACTACTATCAGCAATCATACTGATTCATTTATCACAAAAACAACCTGGTAACCTGCAGTCAGTCCCTGAATGCCTCCTGTTTTTGTGGATTTTTTGTTCATGTTTTGTATCTTTTGTGAAATGGAGCACATAAATGCCACAACATGAGCAATCATCCTGACTGCTGTGTTTGTTTGCTGATGTGTAGTCTCTCCTACAGCGCCCTCCTGCCCGGTGGGCATCATTCCTCCTAGAACCAAATCTCCCATGAGTCCCCCCGAGTCCTCCACCATTGCCTCTTATGTCACCCTGAGGAAGACCAAGAAGCCTGAACCCAGATCAGTAAGTCTTTCCCTCAGCGTCGACAGACACAGAAACACAGTTAGATCAAATGATTCCAGTTGAGCAAATGTGGCAGAATCAGCCGCAGGGGGGCTGTCTTGTAAAATGTCTCTGAGGTTGACATTCTTTTGAGTCAGATTCTTAATATGCTACATGGAGAAGGTGACACACATCTACGATTACAATGACACGTCTCTTAATAGTGTCATTCAGATGACTTGCCATAGGAACCATGTGGGCACATGTTTGTAAATGCTGCCTGAATACAGAGTTCGTCTGCAGGGTCAAAGCTTTTCTTCACATCTCAGAGCTAATCTCTGAATAATGTTGTTGTTTGATTTAGAGGTAATATCTTTTAATGTTTCTCTTTAATTAAAGTTGTCGTGATTTCTGCTCCAGTTAATCTTTTGGTGCTGCATTAGACATTTAAGTAACTCAAGCAGGGAAGAGCAAATTATAAGAATATGAAAGTGTAAGAAGAGTCTAAAAGCACATGAGCAGGAGTTTGAGTTTTGTTCAAATTAGCCTTATACTAATATCAATAAAACAGCAAAGTAGATCAAATAAATAAATGACTTAATGCAGAGTTTCTGTTGTAAACTGAACCTCTGATGGTTATGATGCACTTATGTCAGTTTTGTACTCATTTTCATATTCACATTGTGTGCAATGCCTTGTTTACATGCTGCTGTAACAAAAATGTTTCCAAAGTTGGGATCAGTAAAGTATATATGGTCTTATCTTATCTTAGTGCTGTGGAATCCTACTGTATGTGTGGTTCCACTTCAACACCTCCACATTTTAACTCCCGGTTTGTGCCGACCACACGTGGGACTTCTATTTGAGTCATTCTTTCTTTACACGCTCTTATTTGTTCGTGAACATTCGTTCACAGTAATGTCTGACTCACTCCATGACACTAAAGGTGTAAAAGTCCACTGTACCGATCTAGTGCAGCCACACCGCTGAGACCAGTTCTACATCATAAACACTCACTCAGATTTTAATATCTGCACATACAGTACCGGTCAAAAGTTTGGACACACCTTCTCATTCAATGGTTTTTGTTTATTTTAATTTGTTTCTACTTTGTAGATTAATACTGAAGACATCAAAACTATGAAAGAACACATATGGAATTATCTAGTAAACAAAAAAGTGTTAAAAAATCCAGAATATTATTTTTATTTTATATTCTTCAAAGTAGCCCCTTTTGCCTTGATGACAGCTTTGCACACTCTTGGCTTCTCTCAGTCAGCTTCATGAGGTCGTCACCTGGAATGGTTTTCCATTAACACGTGCGCCTTGTCAAGAGTCAATGTGTGGAATGACTTGCCTTCTTAATGTGCTTGAGACCAACAGTTATGTTGTACAGAGTTAGTGCACAGTGGAAAGCCCTATTTGACTACTGTTGTAATCCATATTATGGCAAGAACCACTCAACTCAGTAAAGAGAAACGACCGTCCATCATGACTTTAAGAAATGAAGGCCAGTCGATCTGGAAAATGTCAAGAACTTTGAATGTATCCTCAAGTGCAGTCGCAAAAACCATCGAATGCTGTGATGAAACTGGCTCTCATGAGGACCCCCCGTGAAAGGAAGAGTAAGAGTTACCTCTGCTGCAGAGGACCTGGCCTCCACAATCACCGACCTCACCCCAATTGAGATGGTTTGGGATCAGTTGGACCGCTGAGTGAAGTAAAAGCAGCCAACAAGTGCTCTACCCCTCTGGGAAGTCCCTCAAGACGGTTGGAAAACCATTCTAGGTGACGACCTCATGAAGCTGACTGAGAGAAGCCAAGAGTGTGCAAAGCTGTCATCAAGGCAAAAGGGGCTACTTTGAAGAATATAAAATAAAAATAATATTCTGGATTTTTTAACACTTTTTTGTTTACTAGATAATTCCATATGTTCTTTCATAGTTTTGATGTCTTCAGTATTAATCTACAAAGTAGAAACAAATTAAAATAAACAAAAACCATTGAATGAGAAGGTGTGTCCAAACTTTTGACCGGTACTGTATGTCATGGGAATTCAGCCATTACTTTCTTAGATACCTTTGGGTAATAGCCGATTGATTAACATATATGCCAGCATATTGTATAGACCCAGAGTTTAACACCCAGAGAGACAGAAGCTGATCCTGGCTGCCGTCCTGCACAGGAGCGGCCCCACAGTGCGGTGGATCAGACTAGCTTTGGGGAGCGAGAGTGGGGCCGAACACGGATGAGTGTGGAGGAGCAGCTGGAGAGAATGAGGAGGAACCAGGAGGCCTCGTCGCTCCGTGAGAAGAAGAGAGAGACCCCGTCCCGCTCGCCCTCCTTCAGCAAAGACAACCCTGCTATTATCCAGCAGGTGATGTCACACACTGTGTCCCCATGACCTGAACTACACTGATCTTAGAAACTAGCTTCTGTGCTAACCTTTTCCCTGCCAAACATTTTCAGTCGATCCAATAATCCAAGTGTGTGTGTGCCGGTGTGTGTGCAGGGTCGGGGGCAGATGGAGGGGGCCTGTGCGGACCCTGTGCAGCTGGAGGCGGCGCTGCAGCAGCTGAAGGTGGAGACCATGGAGCAGAGCAGGACACACCCTGCACCAGAGGTTCATGGGATATTTTGATTCCAGTAGTTTCCAACACAACACTTCATTGGTGGATTTCAATGCTATGATGCAAAGCTCCATGCAGGTCTCTCATGATCACGTTCTGTTTCCTTCTCCAGGAGGTGCAGGGAGTTGAGGAGTGTGAGGAGGTGCCGCAGGACGGGGAGGGGCCCCTGCAGAGGGAGGCGGAGCTGCAGGATGAGGTACTGCAGCCTATAACATTTCAATGATATTCATTGGTACAGTGTTAATGGATAAGCCTTTATCTTTCCAATTTTCAACAAATCCATTAAAAAGTATGGCTCAATAAAACACATAGTACCAGGAAGTAAAACATATAGTACCAGTTAGCAAAACTCATGGCAATAGTATTTCAAGTGGAGTGTTAACTTTGGATGTCTGCAGACAGATCCATCCCATCGTTCCAGCTAACAGTAAACTGCTGTGTTGCTGTCTGCCAGCAGGTGGAGGGGAATCATTCTCACACACAGACACACACACACTCACAATTTCTCAATGTCGAGGAGGCTTGCTTGGTAGCACATATATGCTGGGCATTTAAAGAGTGATTCGGCGCCACTCGATGACGTAGTATGCTTGAAATAGTGGCTCTGGAGCAGCTTTACTCGACATTGAGAAACGGCCACTCTCTCTGCTCACTGTGTGTAATCCCACAGCTGATACTCAGTTCTTGTGGTTGTGTAATCTGGGAGGATAAAATGTGTGGGGGGGTGGTAGCTGTAAAAGCTGTATCTCCTGGATTAAGCCTCTCTGGATTAGACTCTCCACCTTCACTCCACAGCAGAGACGTCATCATGTATTACTTAATAACTTATTCACTCAGTAGTTCATTTAAAAAAGAAATATTTAATTGGTATATTTTTAATTTTATCATCGATCTGCTGATTCTTTTTCAAATAGGAATATATTCCTCATGTATTTATTTATCCTTTTTGTTCTCAGATGATTTTTTAACAAAATATTCATAATTTACCACTGTTTTTAAACATTAAATATAACTACATATTTAAGTGTTTGCCAAGATCACATTTTTTAAATAACATGCCATGGAAAAATTGATATCTTGCTACCACAAAATATACATGTCAGTAGGTAACAATGCTGTGTGTGTGTGTGTGTGTGTGTGTGTGTGGTGTGTGTGTGTGTGTGTGTGTGTGTGTGTGTGTGTGTGTGTGTGTGTGTGTGTGTGTGTGTGTGTGTGTGTGTGTGTGTGTCTGTGTGTGTGTGTGTGTGTGTGTGTGTGTGTGTGTGTGTGTGTGTGTGTGTGTGTGTGTGTGTGTGTGTGTGTGTGTGTGTGTGTTTCAGCTGTGTGTGAGTCAGAGGGTGGTGATAGTGGACCTGTGTGCGGAGCCTCAGCGTGTTGAGATTGTAAATCCTTTTGAGGATGATGAAAGCAGAGAGCAAGATCTGACCAGCTCGCCAACAAACACCACTACTGAAAACAGGTACGTGTGTGTGTGTGTGTGTGTGTGCGTGTGTGTGTGTGTGTGTGTGTGTGTGTGTGTGTGTGTGTGTGTGTGTGTGTGTGTGGGTGCACCTCTTCAGCTGCCTCTGGCTCCTGACTGCATTCTTCCATTGCTGATGTCACCCATTCATGTCCATCATTTGTTGCCTTAATGTGCCCTTAATGGAACACTAATTGTCAAATTCACAAAGTAGACCAGAGGCCTGTACTACGAAGCCGGATTTTCGCTTAGCGAGCTAACTTCAGGGAAAACTCTGAGTTTCCGGTCCTACGACGCTGGTTCTCTTCTTAGTGGGCTAGATCTCCATGGTAACTTATGCTGAACAGATAGCCATGGTCCGGAGCAGGTTAGGTTGCAGGCTAAGAGATCAACTCAGTGAAAGCACTGCCTGCTGACCAATCAGAGCTCAGTGTGCGGAGTTTAAAGCGATCAAGTCATATTACAGGAGAAAGGAAATACAGAAAAGCTGCCGTCGCAGGAAAGACGGCCGGCAAAAATCAACCGACTGTGTGAACGTGAACATTAATAGAATATCACCTCCATCTTCAGAGCAATCTGACTATTATAACATTAGCGTTAAGAAAGCTTACTTAAATATCTGCCACAACATAAGTAACCGGATCAGAGTAACATTAAGTACAGTCCGCGGCATATCACTTCATAATGTATCATATATTTCCTTATCTGAGTCAGTTGAGCCGTATCTGGCCGTGCAACACTCACAGTGTCACATACTGTATGCAGAAGTATTATTTTAAGCAACACATTAAGTTGACGAAACACTCGAGACAAATGTAATTAAAGTCAGATCGTGTCTTAGACGGGGCAGTGATATCATAAACCTGTTAATGTACGCATTCAAACACTTTTTCTGTTACCAGCTGTATTCACCTTGCAGGTGCAGCTATGTGGCTTTGATCCTGGATAAAGTGTTTAAGTCATGGATGTTTAAAGTTTAACTTCTTCATTTTTGTCTAATATTATAGTTGACTTTTCATTCAGGAAGTATGACGCTGCGCTGTCAGTACGCTTCTCCATGTTTGTGATTGGTCGAATGCTCCAAATACCAGCCCTTTCATGTGAACGTGCACCTAACTAGATAGGACAAAGCTGGCTTAAGTTAACGAGTTGATAACCAGCGTCGTAGGACCGTTTAGCGAGAGCGCGTTTGTTTTGGATTAGGTCAAACGGCTAACTCAAACATATCCAGGATATGTTGAACAGGATTCGTAGTACAGGCCTCTGGTCAGATCAAGGAACTTATTTGAAAAAAGTTATTCAACATTTTGAAATGGGTGTGGACTTTGAATCCTTGTGCTCCTGCTTATGGAAGCTTTCAGACTCCGGAGCCTGAGACCCCGAGCCCGGAGCCGAGGGAGGAGGAGGCCGAGGAGAGGCAGCAGAGAGAGGAGGAGCTGAAGGAGAGGCTGACCGCAGACCACAAGAAACACAACAACAACAACAACAACATGTTGGCTTGTGAGTGAAGACTCTCCATCGCACACGCATCTGTGTCTGTACACCTGACACCATATTTACATCTTAATACAACATGGTCAAATATTGAAACTAAATTGCCCTTTTGGTTACCTCACTTTGGCCTTGAAGGACTGACATTAGCACGCTATCTGCTGAAACAGTGCAGGGTCGACGCTGAGAGCGTCATATTTAGAGCTAAGGACATGTGGATATCTCCAATCACTCATGTGGGCCTTATTTTAGGCTGATGTTTACTAATCTTAAAATAATTAATATGTTAAAAAGATTTTTTTAATTGCTTTTCACAAACAATAATATATTAGACAATGCAGAATAAGACTTTTGAAGATCATTTATGGATTTGGATACCTAATGGATGGACATGTATTACAGATAATAGAATTGGGTCAGGGGATAAATGTAATTCTTTGAAAGTGAGTTTGGCTGCTACTATAGATTAGCAAAAACACAAGATGGCCTGCTTTTGTTTAGTCTTCAATAATGCTGAGACCAACAGTTTTAGACACTGTGTCAATAAAAACGTGTTCAGCAAACTCTGGTAACACTGCTTCAATATAAACAGTAGAATTGTATAGAATTATATTTGAACTTTTAAAATGGCTAAATGTAATTGATCCTTTGTGTATCTAGATACAATTAAGATACACAAACCCAAGACACGTGAGATGGCTTTGAGGCTTTTCTCACAAATAATCACTTCAGGGTTGAACAATGACTACACATCTACTTTACTCTACATCAGACAGCAGTGGAGTGCTCCTGAGTTTCTGTTGTGTGCAGATTGGAATTGCTTCTTAAAATATCGCTGTGTGAATACATCTGAATTGAACATCTCATGTTCTCTCTACTAGCTAGAACAATTCCAAAGTTCAACAGACAGCGCACTCCAGTGGCGAGACAATGACACTGCAACTTTGAAAACATTGATTATGAGAAGACAGACATTCAGTGATTATGTTTCTAGCTTAATAATCAAAGACATCTCAATTCATGTCTGCACATTACATCAGTTTAACCCTTTAGACCGAAACGGTAAGGGACCACAACAGGATGCAGTCTGCAAAAGCTATCAACAACCAAAGACACCTGAGTACTACGAAGCCGGATTTTCGCTTAGCGAGCTAACTTCAGGGTTAACTCTGGGTTTCCGGTCCTACGAAGCTGGTTCTCTTTTTAGCGGGCTAGATCTCCATGGTAACTTATGCTGAGCGGCTAACCTGGGGGGTATACTACGAAGCAGGATTTTCGTTTAGCAAGATAACTTCTGGGATTTCCGGTACTACGAAGCTGGTTCACTTTTTAGCGGCCTATATCTCCATGGTGACTTATCCTGGAACCTAGTCTGTGCTCCGAAGCAGGATAGGTTCCAGGATAAGAGATCAACTCAGCGAAAGCACCACGCCTGCTGACCAATCAGAGCTCAGTGTGCGGAGGAAATACAGTTTAAACTGCGGTTGCAGGAAAGACGGCCGGGCAAAATCACGACTGTGTGAACATGAAAATGAATAGAACATCACCTCCCATCTTCAGAGCAATCTGACTATTATAACTATTATACTATTAGGCTATGTTAAGAAAGCTTAATTAAATATCTGCCACAACATAAGTAACCGGATCAAAGTAACATTACGTAGCCTACAGTCAGCGGCACTGTGAGTGCAGACGTCGATGTGTCCCATTAGCATTCATATTACTTCATAATGTATCATATATCTCCTTATCTGAGTCAGCTGAGCCGTATCTGGCCGTGCAACACTCACAGTGTCACAGACTATGCAGAAGTATTATTTTAAGCAACACATTAAGTTGAGGAAACACTCGAGTCAAATGTAATTAAAGTCAGATCGTGTCTTAGACGGGGCAGTGATATCATAAACCTGTTAATGTACGCATTCAAACACTTGTTCTGTTACCAGCTGTATTCACCTTGCAGGTGCAGCTCTGTGGCTTTGATCCTGGATAAAGTGTTTAACTCAAGGATGTTTAAAGTTTAACTTCTTCATATGACTAATATTAAAGTTGACTTTTCATTCAGGAAGTATGACGCTGCGCTGTCAGTACGCTTCTCCATGTTTGTGATTGGTCGAATGCTCCAGATACCACCCCTTTCATGTGAACGCGCACCTAACTAGATGGGACACGGCTGGCTTGAGCGAACGAGTTGATAACCAGCATTGTAGTACAGTTTAGCGAGAGCGCGTATGTTTTGGATTAGTTAAGCCAGATAACTCAGAGATATCCAGGGTCTGTTGAACTGGATTCGTAGTACAGGCCTCTGGCTGGACATAAACAAATATCAATACCTAAGATTATCAATATCAGAACTCCCATTCTTTACCGGCAAATAAAGAAACATATGTTCCAAAAAGCCCTTTATAGCAGTAACAGGTGGGTGGAAATCCAACCAAATAACTGCACACCCCCCATCCTCAAGTACATTATCTGGGATCCTCACACAATGACACCCCTGAGCCCGATGCTCCTGATCACACATTCTGATCTACAGTACACGTAAACTAGTGTTAACTGTATGTCGCAGCACTACACTCTTTTCAACTGAGAAATGAACAGTTCATTCTGGTTGCCTTGACAACTTCTAAAAAAAGACAATCTTACTCAACTGGATAGATGGATGAGACCACCCAAAGTCACCTTCACCTTCACATGCACATTTCATCAGAAAGATAACAAGCTTTGAAGAACAACTAAATGCTTTAAGTCCCAGTCATCAATGTAACACAAAGGAAACCAGTGAACACAACCCAACGCACGTGACACGCAAACACTCCTTCTGATTGGTGGAGACATCCGAAGGAAAGCATCGTACTGCTAGTACCTTTGGACTCTCTGACTGACTGTGTACCCCCCCCTCTCTCCTCCTCCTCCTCCTCCCTACAGCACAGACGTTCACCTTGGTGAGCAGCGACACGTGAGCCGCCCCCCACCCTGACGCCCCAAAGCCCAGATGTAGCCTGCCTGCACAGAGCATGCTCCAAGGCTTCATGTTTACAACAGGACTGTTTTGATACTACTGTCACATGCCCACAGGGGCGGAGCCTGAGAGGAGGACCCCCCCCCCCTGCCTGGTGGACCTCACAGACGGCCCCTTTACTTCCAGACAGAGAAAGATGTGCTGCTTCTTTAGAACCTGTTAGCTTTGTCCATCCTGATATGTTCCTGAGCAAAACAGTGAATCAATGGGGTCACATTTCAAAATATTTCTACATTCAGATTGTGAAATGGTGTAGTCCTGAAGTCATGGTTGTGCGAAGAAGAAAACACTCTTATAAAGTGGAGTTTCAGAAGCTGCTAATCCTGTTTTAGAGAAGAACATTGACCACTGACAAATCAACAACAACCATATAAACTCAGCATGTTGTTCAAATGTTTTATTCATGCCACGTTTGCAGTCAGTGTGAATAAAAGCAACACAAAGGGGCTCAATTATTCTCCCATGCTTAGCTCAGCTGATATCAACACAGAGAGGATCAAGTGTTTTTAATGGGCCATGTTTTTATTGCTTTAAACATTAAACCATTTCACAATCTTGTCTGTATGTAGCACGTGTTTTGGGGGTGATAAAGCTCCATAGATATCACCTGCCAAATGTAGACACACACATATCAATACACATACATTTAGATACCTAACTAAGTATTAAAGTTATCTTTATATAATAAGTCTTAGAACATTCTACTGACGGCTGATTGGCTGTGAGTAGCTGGAGGGGGTGTACTGGGGAAGTGTCCCCTCAGATGGGCTCAGCACCAGAGCTTTACTTTACCAGGTACTCCCACATTCATTCTGTGTTCTCTTCAAACCCAAGGCTCCCTTATCACTCCATTTTTATTTTGCACCAGCAACATAAGAGATTGTCCTTCATTGGATATACATATATAAATATATAAAAAGTATATATATGAAAATAAAGCAGATTTTTACTTCAACAAGGTGCCACTTCATGCTGCTGACTCTTTTGAACAGAACTAAGTATTTTGCAGAAGTTGTGATTATGTATGTTGAGCAGGCTGTTCACACGTTATGTGAATGATTTACATTTCTCGTCTGCTTCTCATGTCTATTTGAGTTCATCTCTTTTTGGTTGACAGAACTTAGAAGATACACAGATGCTGAGGACATGACACTGATTAGATCTTTTGAGTTTCAATCTGTTCAAGGTGTTGAAGAGTTGGAGAATAGCACATGTACGAAGCAATAAGTAGGACTTTGGAGCTCCAGGACATAACATGAATTTAAAAGAGATGTATAAACTGTACAAAAATATAATAAACAAGATAGCATAATTTATGTACACACTGAAAAGAATAAGAGCGAAAAGTATAACTAGAGGTTATTATTCATATTATTAGGGTAAATATGCAAAGAGTTCATACCCATGTGTTTTATATCATGTGAAATAAATGTTGATGTTCTTTAAATATTATTGTTGTTGTTATTTTTTTGCTGTCTGCTTATCAAATGACCCTTTGCTTTCAGATTCTAAAATCTCTCATTTCATCCATGTTGCTGTAAGACCTGTCTAGGGGTGTGTCCGATTATAAGTAACCAAGAATATTGAAACTCCATCCTTAGCATGTGTTTCAACACTGTTTGCAGTCTGACCTCCACCGGCCATCCTCTGCTTCCCACATTCTGAGCTTGGTCTTGTTGATTTGTCTTTGATATCATCCGACTGGTGGTGTTTCTCTTTTCTTAAAAGTAAGTTAGCCAAATATGAAATATGATCATATTATCACCTGTTTCTGTAATCACACATCTATGAGCATTGGGATAAAGCTGGTCCACTGATTCAAGATTCAAAAGCTTTATTGTCATATGCACTTAGCTACAGTGTAGTTATGGCAATGCAAATCTGAAGTCCCGAGCTCGTCCAGCAATGCAACATAGTACATACATAAGACAATAAGACAATTACAAAGATAACAATTCAAAAATAGTGCAAAATGAAACCGAGTAGAATAGAATAGTGCAGATATGTTGCTAGACCAATGCAGATGAAGTCAACTATATACATGTCAGAAAAATAAATAAATACAATAAGCTCAATAATGCAGAGAATGTTGTAAGTGACCAAGTCAATACAGGTGGCACATCAACTACAACTTAAGTCCTCTCACCAACAGAATACACACCTTAAAAATATAAAATGGTGAGCCTACAATCAACTCCCATTTGAGTTCAACTGAGCAAGGCAACCTTTAATGCATTGGACATGCAAACACTTCTTGATAAACCCAAATGCTCTCTCTCCCCCCCCCCCCCCCCCCCCTCTCTCTCTCTGCCCACTCGCGGACCGGGTGACAACAACAAAGCACCCCCTCCCCCCACCGCAGGACCGGACATAGATGAACAGAAATACCTCCAGCCTGACGACATCAATCAAATAACCAACACAAATGGACTTCATATATTTCACCTAAACACAAACAGCCTGAGACACAAACTGGCTGAAATCAGGCAATTATTCATTAACGGTAAGGCAAACATATTATGCTTCTCAGAAACAAAACTTGACAATTCTGTGACAGACCCAGAAATAGAAATTGAGAACTACTCAATAGTCAGAAATGACAGGAACATGTATGGAGGTGGTGTCTGCATGTACATACATAAAGACACCAAATTCATTATCCGTACTGACCTGAATCACGAAACCTTTGAAACTGTATGGGTTGAAATGATTTTTGAACGGGCTATCCCTTACGAAAAAACACTATAGTATTACTATTGAGAATTACTATAGAAATACCACAAAAAACTGCTATAGTATTTCTATGGTGTTTTGGGACACACTATAGAGAATTACTTTAGTAATACTATAGAGTTGGCTATGGTGATCTTATAGTGAAGTTACAGTTATACTATAGTGTTTCCTGTAGTATTTCTATGGTTTTTCGGCCACTATAGGAAATTACTATAGCTATACTATTGAGTTTTATGTAGTATCACTATAGTGCTTTATATATTATTTCTATGGTTTTTTGGAACACACTACAGAAAATTACTATAGTAATACTAGAGAGTTGGCTCTGGTGATCTTATAGTGAATCTATAGTTAATTAGCTTTAATAATGATGTATTCATCCCTATAGTAAGTATGGTATCAACAAATACAAGTTAGCAAGCAGAGCAGTTTCAATTTGAAAGATAGGGACTTTATTAACAAAATAAAATACATTGTTCACAGAATATGAATACGAATAACTTAAATGTAAAAAATGTACAAGAACAATTTCAGGCCCGAAACAGAAATGGTTGGGCAATGAAATTAAGGGAAAAGTGTCCCAACCCCTATATATAAACACATTTCACATTCATATACTTACAACCCATGCCTCTCCACCAAGTCAGAGATGCAAACTTTGACAAGTTTGAGGCTGGTCTTCTCGGTAAGAATGGCATTAGTTTGCAGTTCATCAAATACTTCTGGAATGTTCTTCTTAAGTAGATCAGTTAGGCCATTCAGAAGAACTGGTTCTTGGCTGAACAAAACAATAAGACCAAGCACAGCACAAAGTAAAGTTCTGGCCTGTGTGATTTTTTGAAACACAATTTAACAAGCATGGTACATGTATACCTGAGTTTGACAGACTTCTCTTAGGACAGGCTGAAGATCCGGTGCTTCAGAAAAGTGCACTTGGAATCTGTCAAAGTTACTGATGTTCTCACTTCTATCAACATCTATAAACTCTTTGAAGTCTATGTTGTATTTTAAAATCCTATCCAGGACAAATCCAAATTCACCTGTTACTTCCAGGAGATGGTTTGTGCTTTGGACACTGTAGATTTTTCTTTGAATTTCCTTTTTGCTAGGACTTTAACAGATTCCTGCAGCTCATTCCCGCTTCCTGTAATTATAAGAAAAAGACTTATTCATCCTGATGTTGACTAATCATATTATGCCAGATTAAATTAAATGCCATCATCTATCATCTTCTAGTTAAACCCATTAATACACACCTTATATAAATTATAAGCAGTACGGTAATTTTAAGTTAATTAACTTCACCCATAAAGACAACTTCTAGAGAAGCACAGGGGATATTCTGCTCAGCCTCCAGTGGCGTTTTCTCCTGGAGGCTGGGTATTTCTTCATATTTTTTATTTGTATTAAAAAACATCTCTCTGCTGTTGTCAGTGAGTATTTTACAAAGACTGAAACAGCGCCCCTCTAAATTAATGTGTGGTGAAACACAGTATTGCACGCTACACTCACTCTATACTACACCCGCAGTCCGCTGTGTCAGGGACATGTCAAGGAAAGCCCGCCGGCCTTCCCTCCCAACGATTTGATTGGTCGGAAGGAAAGCCCGCCGGCCCTAACGTGCCGTGCGTGACGCTGCATCTCACATACACTTGGTTGCCTTAGCGACAAGAGGCAGATATGAAATATCCCTTCTACACAATATAATACTTGCAAGTATAGAGTAGTGGCTGATGTTTTAGTCAGAAACAGGTAAACTGTAGTGTACACGTACTACTAATAACTTTAGTGCGAGTAAGTTACCTATTTGCACTGTAACGGCCCGTCTACACTACAGGCGTCAAAAAATGCTTTCAACGCTTCGCCCATTCATTTGAATGGGGTGACGTAGGATATTTTCAAACTTCGCCGAACTGCATTGTGGGTAGCATGGCAAGGCGTTGCAAGCATCGCGAGCGTCTATCGGCGTCAAAAGTTGAACAATGTTCAAGTTGAACAATGTTCAACTTTTGAGGCTCGATGCTTGCTCGAAGCTGGCGTCAGCCAATCAAATCCCGTGTTTGCAATTCCCGCCAGTACAAGCGCTAGCCAATCAAACCGCGTGCAAACTGGGAGAGCCAGTTTCATTTCCTCATATTCCAAACGAGAAATTACGGTAGCAAATCACCCGGTTCTTTCCGACCAGAACTATTTACCGGGATACAAACCGGAGGAACCAGGCATGGAGGGAGGTGGCAGAGACAGTGGGTGAAACTGCTAAGTTTTCGCCTGTTTGGGGATTTTATATCCAGTTTACTTCGTTGTAACATTGCTATTGCTTTGTATGTCGGGGGCGGGAGATTCATGTGATTGGTTGTTGGTCGCGTTGCTCGCAAAAAATCGCCAAGCTTCAGACACGCCCAGCTTCAAGCTTTTTTGATGCCTGTAGTGTAGACGGGCCGTAAGAGACTGTATATCAACGCAGCCTCTGTCGGTCTTCTCACTCGCACTTTCCCGCCACATCTGGCCGAACAATGAAACCTAGCCAAAGTAGCTAGATAGCATTAAACATATAGCTGCTAATGCTATCAATATAATGCCGATTGAAGAATGATGGTCACAGAAAAGAGTGTAAGCTACATTAAGTTAAGATAAAATAAATATAATAAAAAAGAAGAACGGCTTAAAGGAAAATAATTGTCATCCAGGCAGCTAAACTCAAACAATAGTTAGCTGTTCAACATTGGCAAAACATATTTATTTAAGTTTAAAAATATGTATTTAGACCCCTAGCTTGCTCACATTATGACAATATATCTGCTCACTTTGTTAAAAACGTTTTGTTTCTGTAACTTACCTAGACTTAGACTCTCCTCCCTGACATCCATCCTCCACAGCAGCCAGAGGTGAAATGGCAGTTGGGACATTTGATGGACAGTTGGACAGTTGAAAAATGATACATTTGAAATAACTCACCCGTGATTGGGCAGGACAGTGCCCAATGACAGTGCCCAATGTTAGCCCAGTGTTAGTCAAAACTAATGTGTTGACTATGTGCATTTTTATTTTTTCTACGTACACACACGTGTGTAAAATAGTTCAGAAATGACACTGAATGTGTTGAATTGCCTTTGACACAGCAGTGTGTTAAAACAAAAATGACACATTAATTCTAGGAGTGTAATACTTTTACAAACACTATGGTAATAATATGCATTCATTATGACAATATCATATTACTATAGGAGTGGTCTATAGTGTGTTAAAAAAACAACTACAGAAACACTATATATTATATTATAGTTATAATATTGAAAATAATATAGGAATACTACAAAGATCTAGATACATAGTATTACTATTGAAATATTATAGGGCTACTATAGCTAGTAAAATGGCACAACAGAAAATACTATAGTAATACGATAGCTGGTGAAAAATACTATAGAACTCTACAAACTTAATATAGGATACTATACAACTCTTATAGTAGGCTATACTATAGTAATACTATAGTTCATTTTCGTAAGGGAAATCAGTATTAGTCGGCACAATCTACAGACCGCCAGAATAGAGTGGCTTTTATGATACACTGGATGGGTGTTTGGCTGGAGTTGGGGGTGTAGAAACAATTCTTATTGGAGACTGGAACACGGATATGCAACGTAAAGACACGTCCGTCTTCAAGTCCTTCAGTAGGTTTTGTGTTCTGCACGGCTTCAGCCAGCTAATCACCCAACCCACCCGGGTATGTGAATCAACACAGACTACCATTGATCTCATTCTGACCTCTGACAGGTCCAGGATCTCCAGTAAAGGGGTTATAGCATGCGGGTTAAGCGATCATTATATGATATTCTGTACCCGCAAAAAGCTAAAACAAAGGGCCGGCTGTCACAAAACAGTCATATCTAGAGACCTCAAAACCTACTCTAGCGAGGCCTTTAACCTAGAGCTGGAGAGCCTGGACTGGTCAGATGAGCTCAGTGGTACACAAGTTGAAGAAACATGGCTTGGTTTCAAAACCAAATTCTCAACAGTACTAAACGACATGGCCCCCCTAAGAACCACCAGGGTAAAACATCGCACTGAGCCGTGGATGCACTCCAAAATATTGACCGCTATGAAAAACAGAGACAAAAAATGCTCTGAGTTTCGTAAAAGTCAGTCAAAGCTTACCAAAAGCTCGAGCAGTGAACTCCAGGCCCACGTGACTGAACTCAAACTGCAAAGAAACAGACTAAGAAATGACGTAAGCTCCATGATCAAAACTGCAAAAAAGAATTTCATCAATAACAAAACTGAGGAAAACAAAAATAAACCCCGTGACCTTTGGAAATTACTCAATAATCAACTAGGCTGCAGTAAAAAACTTAAAACCAGATTTTCAAACATAAAGACAGATAACAGGCTCATCACAGACAAGCTGGATGTGGCCAATTACTTAAACATTTTCTTCACAAACATAGCCGCAACACTGGTAAATAAACTCCCCTCCCACTCAGGGCATTTTGGGGTAGAACACATCCTAGCCTACTACAATAACCTAGGGGTCCGCAAAGATGATTTCAAACTAGTAATGGTAACAACAGCTGAGGTACACAAAAAACTGAGCGCCCTCCAACCTAACAAGGCCACTGGCCACGACAATATCCCCTCCAAATTCCTCAGAGACTCAGCAGCCGCCATCTCACCAGTCATAGCTCACATAATTAACCTCTCCATAAAACAGGTACAAGTACCCAAAGACTTCAAAATTGTGAGAGTAACCCCCCTGCACAAAAAGGGCAGCAAATTGGACCCAGGCAACTACCGCCCTGTTTCTATACTTACCTCCATCTCGAAAGTCATGGAAAAAATAGTATACGAACAGGTCGAAAAGTACCTCGCGGAAAATAAACTAATCTATGAATTTCAATCTGGCTTCAGAACATCCCACTCCACTGACAGTCTGACACATGCCTTCTTTATTTGAACGACCACATCAAACAAGAGGTGGATGCGGGCAAGTACTGCGGCATGGTGATGCTGGACCTACAAAAGGCCTTCGATACTGTCAATCACTCCATTCTGATTGACAAGCTAAAAGCAATTGGTTTTGATAGTCTATCGGTGAGCTGGATGCGGTCCTACCTGGAGGGGATAGAACAGATGGTGGAGGTAAACGGTACTCTGTCCCCCCCCCTCCCAGTGAGCTGTGGTGTTCCACAAGGAAGCATACTAGGACCGTTACTGTTCCTAATTTATGCAAATGACATGTCGTCAGCATGTGACTGCAACTTGTTCCTGTTCGCGGACGACTCAGCCCTGCTGGTCTCTGACAGGAACAAGTTGCAGGTTGAAAAAACCCTCAGCTCCGAGCTCGGCAGAATCTGCACCTGGCTCGCCAATAATAAATTATCATTACACCTGGGTAAAACAGAGTCCATTCTCTTCGGTTAAAAAAACAAACTCAGCAAGACCGACGGCTTCTCAGTTACAGTGGGTGACAATATTGTTACAAGGAAAGATGAAATGACATACCTAGGTTCCATACTAGAGGCAAATCTCTCCTGTGACAAAATGGCATCCAATGTAATCAAAAAAGTCAACCAACGAACTAGATTCCTATACCGGATCTCCTCTCTGGTAAAGAAGAATACCCTGAAGACTCTGGCTGGAGCACTCATTCAAGGGTACTACGACCATGCTTGCACGTCATGGTACCATAGCACCTCCAAGGCGCTAAAAACAAAATTACAAACATCACAAAACAAACTGGTCAGACTACTGCTTGACCTTACTACTAGAACCCACCTCACCCCTGCCCACTTTGACAACCTAGGATGGCTTAGAGTAAACGACAGAGTACAGCAACTTGCAATGGGCCTGGTCTACAAGATACACTACACCACTAAGGTACCCATGTACATGTCAAAATACTTCCCAAAGGTCAGTGAATACCACGACCACAACACCAGAGGGAGCTCCACAAATCATGTTAAACCCAGATTTGGCTCAAACAAGGGACGAAACACGTTTCGCAATTATGCCACAACAATGTGGAACGCCCTACCCACAGCTGTAAAGGAATGTGAATCACTACCCACCTTCAAAACCTCTCTAAAAGAGCACCTACGGGAGACTGTAATTCGAAACTGGCCCCTGTAAATGTCCAAACCCAACCAACCCCCTACAATATACAGTTTCCCACCCCCCCTCAATGTATATACTCTCTTTTTAGACACTTTTTATACTCACAAACAGTACTGTATGTTTGTAGATCTGGTATGTCATAAATGTCTAGATGTAACATTACTGTCTATCTGTATGTCATGTATGTCATATATGTTATGATGAATTGAAAATGTAATCTATCTGTATGTCATGTATGTCATATATGTTATGATGAATTGAAAATGAATCTAAAATGAAAATGTAATCTATCTGTATGTCATGTATGTCATATATGTTATGATGAATTAAATGGGGGACCCTGATGTAAACAAGACGAAAGTCTTTTTCTGGTCTGCATCCCCTTAACAATTGTGTGTATTGAGCTGTACTGTATTGTACCCATTCTGCAATCTGTTAATAACATTTTCAATCAATCAATCAATCCTGTCATCAACCTTATTGAAAAAGCCCAGCTAAGATGGGCTCTTCAACACAGACATCTCAAATGCAATATTGGCAAAGTAGGTTCAGGTCTTACACTGATTCACAATTGAATTCTATCAAAACTTCTCCACCAAGTGAACTCAAATTATCATCTAAAATAATTATTCATTTTCCAAAAAAATGTATTCAAAGGACAATGGGGCCATGCCACAGGACCCTACACTTCATATTGGCCAATTTCACTTTTGTCATGATCAGAATACAAAATATGTAATAAAATAACCGCTTGGCCAGAGAGAATCATTTATTCACTCTTCAAAAAGGACCAGACCGAATAGAATAGTTTCTTAATAGATTATATTAGAAGATTCCTAAACATTGTGCACTGCGCCAAATCCGTGAAAGACCTGGTATTGCGGAAAAGGCTTTTGATCAGCTGGAGGGGCACTTTCTGTTCATTGTTCTGTGTAAATGCACTTTGGCCAAATATATTTAGGATGAAATACTCTCAATAATCTCAACCCCACTGCCAGGAACCAGACCATCACTGGTATTTAAGCACCTTTTCCTCTAGCGCATGGCCCTCTACAGTGTTGCCCTTTCTTCACGCTTTTTGATGAGCTCATAAACATCACCTGCATCGAGCAACTAAATACCATAGGAGAGGGAAATGGGCCAGGACGCTTGTGTGCCTCCGTGAAAAATAAAAAAAAGTGTCTTCCGCTCATCCACACTCCAACATAGTTGGCATCATGTTAAATGTTAAGACCTATGGTTAAGACCATAGACTGTATATATGGTTAAGACACAGTACTTGTATTAAACAAATTATATGGTAGTAAAAAAAAGGAGTAAAAAGGAGACGATCTTGAGATTGTTTTGTCAAAAAAAGATGTATAAATAAATTCTACTTAAGACTTCTGTCACGACTCAATCAATATCCAGGTTAAAGTTAAGGTATATATTATATACCTGAAATTTGATATTTCAAGTGAGCACTTTTTCTCCATTTTGCACAGGCAGTACAGAAGCAGGCCTCAATTTCAATGCAACAAGTTGGCCACTAAAATCAGCATGGTTCAGATTAACGAGAAAATGAGTGGTAGTTCAAGACAAGAATGGCTGTGGTAAAGTCAAGAAAGCTAAAGCAGGCTAAGGAGAGTGGTGGTGCCTGCAGGAATATGCACCTTGCTGAGATAAGAACGTGCCTTTTCAGCACTTTTTGAGTTGGGTCATTTTCTGTTTGTCGGAACACGTGGAGCTGAGAGGCCACAATGCCGAAGATCGTCTATTGATACGAAGGTGACACACATTCAGTCTGCTCCCCAACGCGTCTATTTCCTTTTTTTATTCTTCAAATAAATAATTGTACCTACATGTTTTTACTATTGATCAGATTAGACATTCCACTTAGCTCGATACTGAATATGAAAGGAAAATAAACCGTTTCAGATTAGCTACTTTAGAAAAGCCTAATTCATTTTACATTGCCCCGGACTAGCCTGGCAAAAAACACTTCTGTGTATAAATTGTTTTGTAGCGAAATTCATGGTTATTAATATGAAAATGTGTATTTTGTTTACACATATGAAAAGGTAAACTACATCGCAACGTTACAGTTCAAGATTTAAACCATATGTAACAAGTACAATAATACCGTTTAGAGATGCACTCTATGCAGCGTTATGAACAAAGTTATTGTTGGACGTATGTTTAGGTATTGAGTGAGAGATCATCTTAATACACAAGCTTTGGCCATGCGGAGCCGCGACGTCATCAAACCCCCTGCTGTGTTACGCTTGAAGCGGAGAGTGTGAGTGGAGGAAGAAGGGCAGCCTGAGGGCAACTTTTCCATTGGAACATCACAATAATAGCTTTGGTGCTCTACGAAATGGCTCAAATAACGAGCGAGGGTGCCGAACAAGATTCTCAGCCGACGTCGAATCAAAACGGAACCGGGGAAACAGCAGAAACCGGCAATGAGGGACAGGCCGTGCCGGACCCCAAACAGGAACCGGGCGACAACAACGAGAACAGAGCAGGAATGGACGCGAGCGGTCGTGGTGTGGCGGCGGAGGACGGGGACAGCCTGTCTTCTGTGTCAGACGCTGACAAAGAAACAGCATTACCGAACAAAAACCCCGACAACGACGGAGGGGAACCCCACGGTAAACTCTCTGAACCGGGGAAAAGTCCCGCACAAGGGAGTTTGGCCAGTAGCACTGATTCCGCACAAGAAGGTTCCCGGGTGCTGAGACAAGAACAAAGAGAGGGGGAGAGCGTGTCCTCCTCCTCGCCGGCCCACCGCACAAAGAGCACGGAGAAAGCCGAGCACGGCACCAAGAGAGCGGCCAGCATGGAGGGGACCTCGTCGATCGGAGAGCCTCTCAGCCGGATGGATTCAGAGGACAGGTATGTGAAGTAGTCTGCTTTATGAAGGCCTTACGCTCCTTTCAGAACAGCATGGGTGGTGTGGGACCACAACACGATGCGGAGTCCACCGGGTGGTAGCTGCGGTCCATTAGTTTACGAGTTCCAGCTCCGGCCTCGGTACAGGAGTCAGACACCCGTTAGATGAAGGGTTCTTTGAGAAAGTTGTTTTAACTTAGCATTTGTATATTATTATTTTGAATAGTCAACGAGCACTGTTGTGGGAAAGTTCTCAGAGGGTTTGGATTTGATCCATATCAACAGTAATGGTACTGTTTGCACAGCATGTTCATCAGCTCACAGTTATCCCATTCACCGCAGTACTAACAGCCGTCCATACCCCGCCCCCCAAATATACATAGAAGAGGATGTGTTAGACACTGGCGTTCAGAGGTAGCAGAACCCCCTCAGCCTCGTGGTCACAGTGAATCTGGACCTCAAGCTGTTTTTGTGATTCCCACAGGATCCAACCTGGGAAACTCACAACCACTCTCTGTGTGTGTGTGTGTGTGTGTGTGTGTGTGTGTGTGTGCCCCCGTCCGTGCGTGCTGCACTATTAAGGAAAGTTTGATCAAAGTCGCAAAATGGACTCTACAAGGCAAAATATGTGGAAATATCTGAATGAAGTATTGTGGAGCTGCAGAGAAGTCTATTTTACACAAATCTTGTCATGTACAGGTCCCCTAAAATAAATCACACCACGATCATTTTTATCTATTTTCAATGATAATGTGAATGATGTTCAAAAGGATTATACCCTCTTATATCACGTCATATTGCAATATCAATTTGAATCAAAATAATACGTGGTTTTGTCCAAATGGTGCAGCCCTAGCAGGGATGGTCCCGCAGCCCTAGCAGGGATGGTCCCGCAGCCCTAGCAGGGATGGTCCCGCAGCCCTAGCAGGGATGGTCCCGCAGCCCTAGCAGGGATGGTCCCGCAGCCCTAGCAGGGATGGTCCCGCAGCCCTAGCAGGGATGGTCCCGCAGCCCTAGCAGAGCCACAGCAGCACATGTCAGGGAAGAGCGTGGATGTTAATGGGTCATTTTAACAAACCAATTCAACTGGGCTGCTATTGGTGATCATTTGCAGACCCACAAGATTTTGATTAAAAAAAGCCTAGATGGTTGGTTTGGCACTGTATGTAAGAGAAAAGAGGATGCAGAGACATGCAGTCTCTCCTCAGAACATGTCATGTCAACAGGTTTTAAATGTTCGAAACCTGCAATATAAGGCATTTTCATACCACTTTTCAAACGAAAGAAATCCAACTTGCAGCAGACTTTAATGCATGTTTGGTGTTAGAACATCTGGCAGACGTAGTGAGGGTATGTTAAACATTGGTTTTACGAGTACTTGTCTCTGATTGGTACTATTTATCAGAAGACTTGGATTGGTGCATCCCTACTAGTGGAAGAGTTTATCATGTAGTGTATTCAGATCAGAACATTCTCTCTGTAGCTACTGAACAGAGTGGAACAACTTATTTCATCCAACTGATAACAGTCTTGCTATAGCTGCTGCTCATAGTCCCAATACCATAACTACAGGACATTTAACTAACGTACATACTGTATGCGCCATCTCGAATACTTTGCAATCACCCTCAATTTGTCCTTCAGCAAACAATGACAAAATATTAGTCTGAAAGTTGCAGACGTTATAAAATGCTGGAGGGAATGTCCCAGTCACGTTTGTCCGTTCCAGCTTTTCATTTCATTTCAAACCTTTATCTAACCAGAATGTCCCTTGAGATCATAGATCTCTTTTTCAAGGGAGACCTGCAGAAACAGTTGATCTATTGCATGAGCTCAGGATCTTCCTTTTAAGACCGGTTGAACATCAGCGGTTGAGTCTTTGTGTCTGAAAACTAAGCTCCATTAGAAGTGATAAATCCAGAGAGACAGTTTGCCCTGCAACCAAGGAAAGAACATCGATCAAAAAATCTGTTACTACTTTGATATATTTTGACTTGTTTCTCTGACACACTGAAATTAGTATGAGTTCATAAGTTTAATGGAGCTTAAACTAGGACGATTGAATAGTCGTTTTACACTGTAGATCAGGGGGGTCAAACTCAATTTCATCGCGGGCAACATTAGCATTAAGGTCACACTCAAAGGGCCGGTTGCAACTATATAAATATACATATATAATATATATATCAAATGATGTATTATATTACATTATTGCCTCTGAATTGGATTATTATCGGATAGGATAATAACTTAGTAATTAACTTTGTGTGAAAGCAGAAGTCCAGGGCAAATAATTGCAAGTCTCTTGCATGTCACAAAACGAGATGCATTGTGGGACATGTAGTTTATGGACAACCTGCTTCTGTAAATCGCCATGTAACCGTATAATAAACGTATTATATTCTTTGCAAGCTCTTGCGGGGCCACATAAAATGAAGTCGCGGGCCGGATTTGGCCCCCGGGCCTTGAGTTTGAGACCTCTGCTGTAGATGATTACATGGTAAGAAAGTGATCAAAGACGTCTGTCGGACACGTCAGCCTATTAAATAGCCCCACTCTTTTATTAACCCGTGGGTTACATTGACTCGCAGTGCGGATCCAGACATCAATCTGCAGTGTGGGTTCATCCAGTATATTTCAATCTACAACTCGTACTTTTCCCCCCTCAGCGCCAAGGAGAATATGAATATCTCAACACTTTTTAATCATTCCACCAAGTAGGAAAGAGTCCTACCTGTCACTCAGCTGCATACATGTGAAGGGCTATGAACCTGCACATCCAGAATAACCCTGCAGTACTTGAACACACCAGCTGACCATTCCCCACAGCATGGCAGTATTTACAGCAGCAGTGTTCAGCCCAGAGTTTCCGTTAGCCGGAATTGCCGGTCTTCAGCATATTTTACCGGTCAAAATGTTAGGTCAAAAATAATTTCCCCTTAGCGCAATACCGCATCAGTTGCACCACTTACGTGACAGACAAGAAGAGTCAATTCTAATGTCTAACATTTCATGTGGAGAAAAAGAATTATCCTCCGGAAGGGGACATTTTGACCCCTCATGTAAACAAATGCATAATGCTGCGCTATATGAATGAATGAAAACTTTATTACAGACTCAGGGTCCAGATAAAAGACAAGACATTACATAGATAAAAGACAAGACATTAGGGTTGAACGATTAATCGATTTTAAATCTAAATCGCGATTTGAAATGATGCGATTATCAAATCGCAAAGCCTGCGATTTTTTTTTTACAATTTCTTTTTTCTTTCGTTCTTGTGTGTCAGTCATCCACACCAATCAGAAGTGCTGTGCTCCACATGTACCAGCCATTGTTAATCAATCAGAAGTGGCCCATGATAGAAGGTGATAGACAGATTGATCCAATCACCTGCCAAGTGCTTTTGAAAGTGCCTGCCCTTTCCAAATGGCTTCCAAAGGAGCTTTAGATGGTTTGGTGAAAGAAACCATCTGGGTCAGGTTAGTAATGCTCCATCACATGTTTCTATTACAGGGTGAATCTTAAACTGAAGCTTGACTTTAAAGCAACCCAACGGAAGTTTCATGTGAGTTTAGTTCTTTCACTCGTAGCTCGGGCTGCGGGGGCGCTAGAGACGGGAGCACGTTGATACGACCTTCCTAGCCGGAGATATGGCCGCATTTTACAATAAAATTCCGTTGGGTCGCTTAAAAATAAATATCGCAAATCAAATCGCAATATTTGTCAGAAAAATCGCAATTAGATTTTTTTTCTCCCCCAAAATCGTGCAGCCCTACAAGACATTACATATAATAAATTACATACACAGCATAAAAAGAATTCATAGTTTAAGAATAATTTAAATCAGTGTCCTACAAAGAGACAACTAGTCCTGCATCGGGTCGGGTACCCGACGGGTGACCCGCAAAAAAGGTGATTCGCGGGTGGTATTTTTTCAAACGCTTTTCTCCGGGTTCGGTTCTTGGTAAAACAAAGATGATGCGGGTCGGGTCGCGGGTGTTGCATAATAAATATATTAAAATAATAATAAATTAGTTTAATGTTTAAATCCTCAGACCTCTCCCCCGCGGGACCGCGCATAATCATAACCTCTGCAGCGCATCAATCTGCTGCTGAGCGCGCCACATTCGAAATGGCTGAGGTGAAGCTCTCTAGCGGAGAATACAGCATTTTCAATAACACTTCCTCAAGAGCGAAATCCAACGTCTGGGAGGATTTTTGTTCCTAGATGGAGAAAAGAACCAACATCCCACGCTTTTTGAGACAAATATGAAACTGCGTGTGTTAATAATTGCACGTTTTCACTTCTCATATATAGGCTATGCGGGTTCGGGTCGGGTTGCGGATCTTGTGCCGACGGGTCGGGTTGCTGAACTAATTGGCAATATGTGCGGGTAGCGGGGCGGGTTCGGTATTGCACGTCGCGGGTGCGGGGCGGGAGCGGGTCTTGAAAATCAGACCCGTGCAGGACTCTGGCGTGTAGTACTAGGATTTCATTATCAGAGTCATTAAGCCGGCAAATACATTTATACATAAGATTTCTTAAAACAGCTTGTAGAGTATTGACTCCTGCAGCCACAAACATTTCACTTGCACTAGACCATGGAGGTCTCTTCAGCAATATTCTCATGGCATCCTTATAAGCTACTTGAAGTTTCCGTAAACTTGCTTTCTTGTAGTTTGACCACAAATGTGCCGTATAGAGCGGTGTGCAATATGCTCTGAACAGAGACATCTTCACTCCATCTGTACATGCACCAAACTTACGTAAGAGAATGTTTGCTTGTGCACATCATGCGGCATTGCCTATAAATATCTTCATCATCTGTCATTTGTTCTGTAATAAAGTGTCCAAGATATTTTAACTTATTACAGACACTAAGATTAATATCAGACAATTTAAAATCAGGACATTTCAGATTTCTTTCTTTGGTTCTAAAGATCATGACAGCACTCTTACTGGCGCTGTATTTGATGTCATGTTCCACACCATACACAGA